CACACACACACACACACACACACACACACACACACACACACACACACACACACACACACACACACACACACACACACACACACACACACACACACACACACACACACACACACACACACACACACACACACACACACACACACACACACACACACACACACACACACAACTTGACTTTACATTTAAATATCAACAATGAAATTTAGTTGAAGCGAAGAGTAAACCAATAAATTCGAATAGCGAAAAATGGTTTTAGGAAATTGCGAATATCCTCTCATTTGAATTGCTTACCATGCCAAATATAGAGAATGTATCGTCATGCTTGCTGCAAAACTATTTAATAAACTAAACTGGATACAAACGACAGGATGGCATGGTCTTCATCAGGAAGCATGAAATTGTATTTTCCAACGTATTTGTATGAGACGAGTGCACGCGCTCGCGTGTGGGTGTTTTTCAAAACCGAAATGACTGCTTGCAAACACCTAACTTCATTGAGACTACGATGACCACTTGCCAGCCAATGCAAAATTCAACATTTCATCTCAGTTAATTAGGATTACGTCCGTCGAATTATGGTTGATTTTAATCTACGTTCTATATTTTAAATACACAAACTTATGCAGTTTATTGCTCTTTTTTGCACATAGCATTTAATTCAACAGTTCATCGCATACATGAGGTTAATGCAGACAAACTCCGGAGATGGAAAACACATTTAAACATTAGTTCAGCGAGCAAATTCATATTTTATTGCTACAGTCGGTGTGTAATGGCTGTTTGCTTTTACGAAACACAAACATTTTGCGAACGGAAATAGTTTCTTGACGAAGTTAAATGAGCAATTTAGTTGTGAATTGGCCGCTTGATGACGAAATTATATATGTATATCAGGCGAGCATAAGTTTTCATCTTGTTTGCTTTAAAATGGAGGATTTTATTTTTGTTTCATAAGTCAAAGCGGTGAAATGAATGGTCTTCTCGAACATTTTCAGAAGTGAAGTCAGTATATGACTTTAGGTCATTCAAGATTGTTCCAGTCAATACGACTCCATGCAGCAGTTGAGATGTTTGCATTCAATTTGGCCAGAAATAAAGTTTTCCTTGTACAATTTCAACATGTGCCCAGTTCAAATGGTTGGACATTGATCGGTTCGTGATTTCAGAATGAGTGTGTAAAGGATTCGGATGCGTCATTATCATTAAATTCGTCTGCGATTTTTTCATCAAGCGTGGAATATGTTTGGTAAACTGGCTATGTTTGGGTAGGTCGGATAATAAGATTGTAGCCTCACCGATGGTTGTGACCTGTAAATTTCAACGCTTAACCGTTAATGACCTCGTGAATCGATTACCTCTGACTGTTGGGTTTGTTGACCCACGTAGAAACCAAGCAAACTATGCCATTCAAGTGGTAACAATTGTCCCTTAACAATTCGCAGAAGGCAACAACCGCAGCCAAACCAATTTTTTTGTCTCTAGATATTCGCAGTCTGCTATTTAAATTAGTGAAATTAATTTGCCAAACAGAAATGAAACCGTATTATTGAAGCTGTCAAGTATCAACACCAACCGCACAAAGCAGAGCAGAACAAAAACAAACACACAATAAAATACTTTAATCAGAATCAGAATCAAACCGAGTGTGCTTGGATGATTTTAATGCTATTTGCCGCGCGCACACAGATACTCAAAGGGGAGGAAAGGAAGAGTGCGTTGCGACGCTCGCGTTGACATTCGTCAGAAGTTGTCGAGTGTGATATTTCAAAAATTCAAAATGTTTGTTTGAGACAATTGAAAATTATGTACGATTGTGTTGGATATTTACATTTTCATTTAGCATTTTACACACACACACACAACCAAACAGCCGACATAATGCGCGAGCTCAACTGAAATCCCATTCAGTGCAAAAACTTTTTCATTTCTGGCATTTGTTTTGCTGCAAATTCAAAAGTGTGAGTGTGTGACAAAGATTAAGTCGTTTTGCGGGCAAAGCAAAAGAAGCGATTGACACGCAACAACAACGAGAAAAAAAAACGAACCGAAGAGAATTCAACAACGGCCGATGTGGGAAAAAGTCTTGCAATTGAACGTTGGGAAAAAAAACGAACGCGTAACCAAGCGAATGTTTTTTTTCGTGCACTTGGTTTCATT